ATATAAAATACGAATATTCCCCTTGAATAGTTCCAGGTTGTAAGTGTGATTCTTTGGCACGCGCACCAATCTTAATTCAACCAGGTCTCTTCTCTCTCTCTCTTTTTTTTCCTCCAATGACTTTTCTTTTTATTCAAGTATGGTGGAGATTTTATATCTCGATACGACTTTATGCTTTGTTCGCTAAAAACCCCGATCTGTTCATCTCGGCGGGGGAATAGCCGGATAGGTACCCAGACGGCATTTGATGTCCCGTGTCACCAGAGAAAAGATGTTGCGCTTTTGTGGAATCCGGGGAAATAACTTGGCACTTGCCCCTTTTAGCCGCGGTGATGACAATCGGACTGGTTATGAGGCCCAAGATTCACGGAGAGGTGGAGATCATGAACTCGCGAGGGTACATTATGCGGAGTAAATAAAAAGAACGAGAAGAATGTAACGATGCCGAGAAACGGAATATCTCCAACTCGGTATAGTGTTTATTTCTAACCGGGCAGACGGGATTTTACTATTTATGTATATATAAACCACTTCCACCATCCATCCATCCATCTCTCCTTTTTCTGCACGACTCCGTCACTCATCCATTTCTATCTCTCCTCGTTAATCACCATCACCACCACAATGCACCTCCCAATCCTCGCCCTCGCCCTCGCGGCATCCACCTCCTCAGCAACCCCTCTCACCCCCCGTCAAAACTCCCCAACAGTCTACCTAGCCGGCGACTCAACAATGGCACGCACAAACTCCCCCCACAACGGCTGGGGCGAATACCTCTCCAAATACATTTCCCTCCCCGTAATCAACAAGGCCATTTCCGGCCGCTCAGCCCGTTCCTTCACCAACGAAGGCCGCTTCACCGAGATCGAAAACCAGGTCAGACAAAACGACATCGTCATAATCGCTTTCGGCCACAACGACGGTGGATCCCCAAACTCTGCATCAGATAACGGACGATCCGCGTGTCCCGGTACCGGATCCGAAGTCTGTACTTCAGGCAAAACGGGCGAGAGGGTATATACCTATAATTATTACCTCGAGAATGCTGCGAGGAGGTTAAGTGGGAGGGGCGCGAGGGTAGTTTTGGCTTCACAGACTACAAAGAATCCTTGGCAGAATGGTCAATGGTCAGGTAATGCTGCCCCGCCTAGGTTTGTTGAATATGCGAGAAACGCAGCGAGGAATACTGGGGTAGGGTTTGTTGATCATTATCAGAGTGTGATCAAGGCTTATTGGAGGTTGGGAAGTGGAGTGGTTAATGGGTTTTATCCGGTTGATTATACGCATACTAGTCCGCAGGGGGCTGATTTGGTCGCCCAGGCGTTTGTGCAGGCTGTGGCGAGGGATTTTAATGGAACGGTGGCGTTGAAGGGATATTTGAGGAATCCGGTGCCTAATGTTTGGTGAGAGGGGAAAAGGTGAATGGTTTGTGTTGTCTTGGGATGTATGTGTATAGAATGAATCTTTTCTTTGAAGGTGGTTCTGGTATTGTTTGGGAAAAGGGAGAATGAGAAATTGCGGCGAGACAGTAAAAGAACTCAAGACTTTGCTATTAGATATGACAATCATCTTATTAACCGTATAGTTTGCTCTTTAAAGTTTAGCAGAATTCTAAAAATGATTTGGGTATCTTGAGTAAAAGCTAGCTCGAATCTACTCGATATCCGAGAATGGGTATTCCTTTTATTGAAATAGAGATGAATATAATTCCACAATTGATAGTTGTTATAAAAGTCGAAAAGAACGTTAAAAAAATACACTACTTTTCGACAACAAAAATGGTGTATTGGGATATGAATTAGTCTGTCGAACAAAATAAACAGGCTCGTAGCTAACTTTTTTCTCTATCCTTCCCTCTGATACTAAACCCCACCCATCCCATCAATATCAACCAACCTGCTAGACATATTAGTCGCAGTCGCCAAAGATCGATCAGTCAATGCCAATTCAAAATCCACCACCATTTCAGAATCAATCTCGTGATCCAAGGAATCCTGCCATGCTCCACCACGTCTGGCTATATCGGCCAACACCGCCTTTGCATAATCAGTAGTAATAGTCCGAGTTGAGAGTCCCACCGATATGAGCCCCGACATGACCGTCTTGAAACTGAGAAATTGTGGAAACCGAGTTAGCATTGCTGATATGCAGAGAGCAAAGTAATGACGTCGTTCCAGAACGTCGTTTCTCTCCTTTGACGGTCCCAGCTGGCATAAAACGCTGGCGAGGTATGCCGCTCCAAACATTGTCAAGACTGTGTCGTGAGTCTGCAGCTCAAAGTTCCTTCGATATGCAATCACAAGCCGTTTCAGCTGGTCGACTGACGAGTTGAAAGCTGAAAGAACTGACCCTTTCGAGGTAAAGGTTTGCAGAGGGAGGTTCTGGAGAGGTCCCTGAATGAATGGTTGGAAGATGGCAGTCACGGCACCATGAAAGTACATACTGCAAACATTATCAGCTATTTGCTCAATGGTAGGGTTCTTTTGGTGGGGATAAAACTTACTGCATCATCAAGATTGCTGGGGTGTTTTGATCACCTCTGGCGCATCCAAAAGGCAAAGCAGTAGACCATGCCAGCAAGCGTTGGAAGCAGAGTTCTGCCTGCTCAAGACTTTGTTGTTGGTGAACCCCATTGTTATCCACGCCGTAGGATTGCTTGTTTGCTTCGTGTATCAAGAGAGCCAAGTCGAGATCAACGACATAGGATGTGCCAACATGCAGAGGGTAGGGAAGAATAGCGAGAAGCCCATCCGGCCCCATGTAAGGATCTCGACCAGGCAAAGGAAGCAACGGTGGTCCAGCAACTGTAGAGGTGCAAGTATGCATTTCGATGTGGCTACACGTTTCATTGTCAGTACTACACAGCTGTGCGGAGAGATTTAATTTGAGAAGCGCATACGTTTGGTGAAGAAACAAAGCCCAGGCAGTATGGGACATGGCACGGAGGTCGTCTGTGGCATAACCCACCCACGGGCGATCTTCCTGCGTTGCATGTGATGGTGTTCCAACGAGATTCAATGTCTTTCCTATCTCAAGCGTCGCCGCCCTGTACTTTTTTGATTCCTCACTTCGGCCACAGACGCTGGAACAAAGGTCAAGGATGATGGCAGCAGAGACATGTGTGATTGGGTAGGGACTTTGGAACTGCCAGAATAAGTGATCAGCCTCTGACATGAAGAGGGTTGCTAGCTCTTTCAACGGTAGGTCGGGGTAACTAGTGGCATACGCTTGCTGTTTCCAAGTTAGAACTCGCCTTTCAATCAGGGATAGATAACTTACACATGACCAAGCAAGAATAGCTGTGACGAGCAACGGTGAGCAGTACCGGTAGTTGTGTGTAGAGAGGCCATCAAGGAATAAATCTGCGTCAAAGGGGACCACTATGGGGTGATCAGTCTCGAGATACCTGGATATAAGCTCGACGGTAAGGATGTTGTCGATTGAGACCTTGGTCCATTGTCCAGATATCTCCAATCCGACTAGCCTCGGATCACACAGTGTCAAGCCTAAACCAACCAGGGGCGGGTTGATGGACTGAAGGAAGTTAATTTGGCCTTGTTGCGAAGCTGAGTCAAACGATATTTGTACCCCAAGCAACTCACCATCGGGTGGTGCAAGCGCTGGGTATACACAGGGGTCTATTTTTAAATGTTAGTCAGGGCTTTCTTTCTCAAAAACTCAAAGATATGTCTGCACATACGACATATTGAAAGTTCATACGCAAGGCTGTTTTGTGGTAGCGGGAAAACTATGGCCTCTCTATCGAGGCGAGAGGAGGGCAGTTGAGGCAGCAGATGCAGCGGGTGCAACAGAGAAACTGATGAAGGCTGAGATGGGAGATTTAGTAACATCTCTGTGTTAGTAGCCTGGGAGAGATCATTGCTGCTTCCGCCCATGAGCGAGAATGGAGTATGGGGTGAGAGGAACGAGGTATGTGATGATGCAGGTGGAAAACTACGTTTGCTATTAACGACGGCACATTTTCAGGATGCACAAGACTGTTTGGAGTAGAATATCAGGATGTTTTGTGCATCTACACGCTCGATGGTATTAAAGTCTTCAACGTACGCCTGGCCGTCTGGGCCATAAGGGTCGTTGGGGAAAAGGTGCTGAGATGGATTGGCAATGTCGACTGGCTCGTTCTTCATCTGGGCCAACCGACCTTCCAATTCCCTAACCAGCTTTTCGAGTCGGGCGTTGTCCATACGTAGAATTTCCTCCTGTGATTGTTCATAGAGGCATTCGTCCGCATTATCCCGGACGGTGCATTGCGTGCAGGGCTGGCCAGAGCTGCATTTGCCCTTTCTAATCTTGCACGGTACACAGGCCTTCCGCACAACGTCGCGTCGTTTGGGCAAGTTGGTAGTAATGTGGGAAACCGGCGACCTGGACGAAGAGGTTGCGTGTTGTGCTTTAGGCGCGGGAGCGATGGGATGGAAAGGCATCTGGAAAGATTTAGATGAGATGGACTTGGTAAGTTGGTAAAATGTTGAACGAATGAGAGAGGATGGTCAAACCCCCGAAAAAAAATGGGCCGCCCTGTTTTACTCGCTCGACCCGACCCGTGACGAGCTAGAATTGGGATCTCAATCAAATTCACGAAAGATTCCCTCAATGGCCGATTCGAGGCCCTTGGCGGCTGCTAGGCTCACTTGGCTGCATTGTTTTTCAGGATCCTGTCACCTTTGAGGGACTCTGCGTAGCACTCCTCCCACATACGTCATGATAATCGTTAGGGCTTCAATTACCATCTTCGTTCCTTTCCTGACCGGCGCCCCAAAACCTCAAACTATATTTCCGCACAAAGAATGAGCTTTAGAGCTTGATGATCACAAAATCGAGTCCAAAAAGAGTGATTTTCGCCGGCAGTTACCGGAAAAAGTTCTGTTTCATGCAAGATCTGTGTACGTAACCCCTCATTTGACGTCATCAGGATGACTGGAAAAAGCCACAGCACCCCCAATTGTGGAGGTGGAATCATGCCTAAAAAAAAACTGATCTGACAACTGTGAGATTCGAACTCACGCCCCTCTCGAGAACGCAATGCTAACTCTTTCTGCTAAAGAGAAGGAAACACGTGGTTTTCCTTGAGTGCGTCGCCTTAGACCGCTCGGCCAAGTTGCCCTTGATGGTCCGCTCTTGCTTGGTGTTGAAATACCTTTGCGCTATGATGTCTTATATGAAAAAGGTTGCGTTGCTCAAGTTGGTATATATACTCATTGCGCACTGAAATGGAATCTTCATCACAATATTATTATCATTTTTCATCCAAGAAACAGAATCAGTATTTATTCTTTGTAATATCTGTATATCACCTGTACCACGATGCAAGCGCAAAGGAAGAACGATTATGAAGTCAGTCAATTTGTCCACAAAGGATGTTCAAAGAATTTGATGAAATTACTTTGGATTGATTATGAGGGTGACCATTATCTTGCATTGTGTGCAGTGATTAACTCCAAGTCAACTCACTGAAACAACCAAAGCAGCCTTTCATTTAAGAGCATCAAAGAGCATTTCATATTCTTGCAACGCAATGCCTCTCTTACTGCCTTGACCCGCGGTTTCCATGGTCTTTGCTCTGCCTCTCTTTGAGCTGCTGGTTGAAGTAGTCTTGACCCATCGTCCGGGTATGTGTCTGTGTCGAGGTAGCAATCTCATTAGTCAACATTTTAGTGCTTGAAGCTGGCATTTTGATATTTGATTCATTGAAACTCTTGTATGGTTGCGTGCAGGCAAGCTTGCAGAAATAAAAAGGATTTCGATGAGGAAAGTGGAATTGGATATTGAGAGGGAAAGAATGCCAGAAACTTATGTCAAATTCTCTCAAGAAACATGCCCATGCCCAGAGATCATAGAAATTGGAACATCATGAATATTTATATAAGGTGGTGTTGATCCAGATTTGATATGACAACAAAAGCTAAATAATTCAACTGAAGTTTAGAGCTCTTTATTGTCACAAGACAAAAGCATTCACTTCAATAATCAGATGAAATCACAAAGACCACAGCACACCAGGCAGGCAGGCAGCACGACAGCAAGTCTTCTAATTTTCTGCGGCAGGCAGTGTTGAAGATTCTGGTACAATGTCCTTATCATGTCCACAATCTCCGGACATGAGTAATGGTAGGGTTCCTGGATCCTGTGACGCCGTTGGACTTGGGACCGATATGAACCTTATTTTGCGCCACTATTCGCAACCATGGCGTTTTCTCCGCACCTCAACGGTTTTGGAACGCTCTCATCTTCCCCATCAACGTTGCCCTTTTTCATCGATCACCGTTAGTAAACCATCACAGTGGCAGCAGGTGCATCTATATCTCCTTCCACAGCGTCCCCATCCTTCAGTATCACGACCGCGCAACCATCGCCGTTCTCGCACAGCCCGCAAGCCCGCTCAAACGGTACCGATGTTTTCAGTTAGTCAACGTGTCCACCCACAAAAAAAATGAGATTGCTAACCGTTGTGTGTAGACAAACATGAACATTCGAAATATCGACCGCACCAAAATATCAAATTGGATCACATCGAAATCCAAACCATTAGCCGCCGCCGCCAAAACCGCAGCCCAAGTCACCACATCAACAACTCAAAAATACGCACCTCAATTAACTGCCGCCGCCCGAACCGCAGCTTGTCTCGCCGCAGGAATGACTCAAACAATTGTACCTCTCCTAATAGAATCATTCGACAGTGTTGTTCTCGGGCCAGACCTCAGATCAAGCGATTCAAGTTTCACTCGTTTATCTCGAACTCTCCCGAATCCCTTGTCGACACTCGCATCGGCAGCCTCCTCATACCTACCTGCTAGCACACCATCAGTAGAATCTCTTGTAAAACTGGGCGACGATGTACTGCAAGCTATCAACCCAGAACCATTCGAGAGGGAAAAGGAGTTCCAAAAACTGATCGACGACGAGGCGCTCACACGGGGGATAGAGCATATTGATGATGTACTTTCTTTACATGAGGATGAATTATGTGATGACGATGATGATGATGATGGCGTCATGATGTCTAGCAGAAGAGTAAATTACGGAGTTATTGATCTGGATGAACGGGAAAATGAAGAGGGAAGGTTATATGGTATGAGATATGAAGGGGCAGATGAGCTGATTGATAAATTGGAGGTTTCGTTTCGGCCGGTGAAGGATTGGGGGAGATATCAATTGGCTATGAAGGAGATGGGTTGCTCGGGGCAGAGGTTGGAATTGGATGAGCGAGATGAGAAATGTGGAGGATGAATGTGAGGTTGGGGCATTTGGTCATTGGGGAATTGCGTTTTTGGGGCTTCGTTAGAGGAAAGAGCACGTGGGCTCCAGGGTGTTGAGCAGACAGCAACCGTCAATACCAAATTTGAGTGCCTCAAAGTTGACAATAATGCATGGGGTTGCAAGGACAATGCTATTATCTGTGACACCTGCCAGTTACCATTACTGCTTGGTTCCGAGACTTGGAAACTCCAAGTTTGACGCCGTACCTTCCACTTCCATTGCAAAGTGGTTCAATGTGACAAGGGCATGTATAATGGGCTTGGAATAGGCTTGTATTCAAATCAATATAATAAACTGTAATGGCCTCAAGGTCCTTGTCCTTCCAAC